TTTTTTTGAAATAGCATTTTTTTTTTAAACCATAGAGCAAATGTACTGAAAGTCTAACGTCATAGTCCTCCCCATCCCGTTTTCCGAAAGATTAAATGTGTCAAAGAAATTACCTTCTGTGTTCGTTTTAATTTCTCTGGGATGATCCCTACGGTATCGATCCCTTCTATCAGGCCCCCCCCCCACCAAACCACTGTCTGCTCTCCTCCTCCTCCCCCCCCCAACCAGCACCTAACGTGCCTGGATCGCCAGGCCGTGCATTGATTTCATACGTAAATAGTCCTGACGTCTCAACCAGCGGGTAAACTACTAAAGTGAAACCAGTTGGGGGTGGTTGGGAGGAGGTGGTGACAAAAAAAAAACGCTTGGGTGCAATGGTTATGGTTGAAGTGGGTGGGTGGGTGGGATGCATGATTCCACTTATACATAATGAAAAAAGATAACACCTCTCCCACTTCCCCTCCCCTCTCTTCCACCCATCCGCGATGTTTATTCTTTCAAACTTGGCTTTGTTTCTGATGTGAAGGGCCGGATCGAATACTTACCTTGTCTGAGTATCGCTTCATTTGTTCACACTATTTGATAAATCGTTAGGTATGCAGATGAGTCCACCAATCAGCACGCACTGAGAGGGAAAAAACCACAACCCAACTGCGATAAGACATCAATACGTTTGTCTTGTTATGAACTAAAGATCAATACTGTTTAAAATCACAAAATCAAAACTTCGATCAGCCACCATCGAACACTTTTATATTTAAAGTTTCTGGAAATTTCCATCAAATTTTTTTTTTTTACTTGCCTTTTTTAATTGATACGTCTTCTATCTAACGATGACAATTCGGTATGATGATTTTGACCAAACAGAGTCAGATGATGCTACTGCACTAGGAACGAGCAAAGACATACAGATGCATGAATTAGTTAGTACATAAGATGAATACTCTTTTAAATTCTTATTCATGAAAAATTAGGAAAAGGAAAAGTTGACATACATTTCACCAATTTGAATACGATACATGTTTGTAACCACTTGAAGATACTGTTGGTTCATAGATCATCTGATTGTTGACCAATAGATCATCTGATTGTTGCCCAATAGATCATCTGATTGTTGCCAAATAGATCATCTGATTGTTGCCCAATAGATCATCCGATTGATGACCAATAGATCATCTGATTGTTGACCAATAGATCATCTGATTGTTGACCATTTGAAGAGACCGTTGATTCATAGATCATCTGATTGTTGACCACTTGAATAGGCTGTTGGTTCATAGATCATCTGATTTGTTGACCACATGAAGAGATTGTTGGTTCATAGATCATCTGATTTGTTGACCACTTGAAGAGACTGTTGGTTCATAGATCATCTGATTGTTGACCACTTGAAGAGACCGTTGGTTCATAGATCATCTGATTGTTGACCACGTGAAGAGACTGTTGGTTCATAGATCATCTGATTTGTTGACCACTTGAAGAGACCGTTGATTCATAGATCATCTGATTGTTGACCACTTGAAGAGACTATTGGTTCATAGATAATCTCATTTGTTGACCACTTGAAGAGACTTTTGGTTCATAGATCATCTGATTGTTGACCACTTGAATAGGCTGCTGGTTCATAGATCATCTGATTATTGACCACTTGAATATGCTGTTGGTTCATAGATCATCTGATTGTTGACCACTTGAAGAGACTATTGGTTCATAGATCATCTCATTTGTTGACCACTTGAAGAGACTTTTGGTTCATAGATCATCTGATTGTTGACCACTTGAAGAGATTGTTGGTTCTTAAATCATCTGATTGTTGACCACTTGAAGAGACAATTGGTTCATATATCATCTCATTGTTGACCACTTGAAGAGACTGTTGGTTCATAAATCATCTGATTGTTGACCACTTGAAGAGACCGTTGGTTCATATATCATCTCATTGTTGACCACTTGAAGAGACTGTTGGTTCATAAATCATCTGATTGTTGACCACTTAAAGAGATTGTTTGTTCATAGATCATCTGATTGTTGACCACTTGAAGAGACTTTTGGTTCATAGATCATCTGATTGTTGACCACTTGAATAGGCTGCTGGTTCATAGATCATCTGATTGTTGACCATTTGAATAGGCTGTTGGTTCATAGATCATCTGATTGTTGACCACTTGAAGAGACTATTGGTTCATAGATCATCTCATTTGTTGACCACTTGAAGAGACTTTTGGTTCATAGATCATCTGATTTTTTACCATTTGAATAGGCTGCAGGTTCATAGATCATCTGATTGTTGACCACTTGAATAGGCTGTTGGTTCATAGATCATCTGATTGCTGACCATTGAATAGGCTGTTGGTTCATATATCATCTCATTGTTGACCACTTGAAGGGACTATTGGTTCACGTGTTGAACACAACCCACAGTTGATTGTCAGCCAATGTCAAGGCTTTGAAATGTAAAGAAATATTTTTTAGCCCACTTCAAAGTTAAATAAAAATTAAAAAAAAAAAACTTATTAAAATGTTTATTTAGTTTGGTGTATCGGGAAAAATAAGTTCATAGTCTTCTCCTATTTAGCATTGGCGTATCACTGGGTAGGTGTTAAGTAAAGAAAGAAATCTCATTTGTCAGCTCACAGTATATCTATATGTATCTACAATTAATTATTATTGTATATATCTGTCCATTGATCTACTGAACATTGTCTCTCTCTGTCATTATATCCGTCATTATATCTGTCATTATATCTGTCATTATATCTGTCATTGTATCCGTCATTATATCTGTCATTATATCTGTCATTATATCTGTCATTATATCCGTCATTATATCTGTCGTTATATCTGTCATTATATCTGTCATTATATATGTCATTATATCTGTCATTATATCTGTCATTATATATGTCATTAAATCGGTCTTTCAGTATGGACATTTATAAAGACAGTGCTAGAGCTCTGTGATGCTAACATCCTGCTCCTAGTCCCTAGATACAGAACTTGCTAACACATATGCTACTACGTGCACAGTTTGAAGCGGTGCAAATAGCACTCTTGGACAGCAGATAAGACCGAACATAGCCGCTTAGAGTACATGAATAAACATAAACTTAACACCAATCCATACAATTATTTCGTATCCAATAAATATAAACTCCATGATATGTTCGGTTTCTTGGATCCTCCAGTTTTAGGCTACATAGATATAGAATAATGAAACTGTCATAAAGATAGACAAAATTTCTACTGTTTAAGTTTAACACCCACATTTCTGATAAGTACACACCAAGTAAGGCCATAAGTACACACCAAAAAAGGCCGTGCTGCGTACACCCAAAAAAAAAAAAAAACATTTTATTTTTTTTTCGGGAAGACAAGGGACATGAAATCTAAAACGAGATATTTTTTTTTTAAATTTTACTTTTATAAAAAAAATATTCAAATTATTCATATTTTTTACCTAATGTTATTGCGCCTAAATTACAGAAAAATTTGCCTCAATTTTTGAGGGAAATTAAAAAGGATATAAAATCATCTAAGAACTTTTAAAGACTTTTCTTTCAATAGATCCTGTGACGTCATAGCGCTGTGAGCATGCTAACAATGACATGGACGACACAAGCGCTATATCAGTATTCAATTAATCAATCAATCAATACAATAATATAGAATAACATTATCGGCTCATCAAGAGTATAAATAAAGCGCATTAAAACGGCAGCCCCTTTTAATGTTATATTTTACTTTAAGTGTACTTGCAATTTTCTTAATTGGTGGTAGTTAGCAGTAGCGCCTGCTCTCATTATATTTTCTAAATGTTCACCAGTCAAACCATTAGGTTTTTTTAAAAGTTTTTTTTTTGGTCTTGATTTTGGTCATTAAATAGAATCCACTCACAATTCCACCCCCCCCCCACCCCCGACTGAATTGTATTAGAACTATAAAGAAGCACAGCTTGTAGCCTGCTTTCTACTCATTGAACATATCTCAAACTCTGATCTCTGAATACCTGTTACTTGTCTCTAGCCACACAACAATATAGGATGGAGAAATACACTCCCATACCTGGCAAGACTACCTGTTTCATGACATTGTACCATAAATGGTTCAAACTCCCAGCCGTGCTCACTCAATTTTGACCCCTTAAGTACCACAGCTCCTTTTTCAAGTACTCTGATATCGTCCTACAAAGTGCAGTAATTAACGCGCTATGCTTACGTATCTATTTCGTCTAATCTGTTTCCGTGGGCGGAGGGGGGAGGGCATGGACATTTTTACGATGACCCAGTAGCTACACATCAAATTACTTTTTGGCCGCCCTATTCGTCTTTCTCAACGCTGTCAATAATCATACCCGATATCCCGTGACGTCTTCCCCGTACAGGCAACAGAAAGAAGGAAGAGGTAGTATCCGATTTTTATGGCCCCCTGTTGTCCTAACAAAACTAAATCAATGAATTTGATTGTGAAATTGTTTCACCACATTTTTTTTTTACACACATAAAAATTTCTCAAGCAGTGACGGGCCATTTAAAAACAGCCCGCAGGCCGCGGGCTGAACAGCACCGCCGTAAGGGCTAGCAGATAAAACAACAAAAAATGGTTGGTATATCATGATATCGGCGTATTTATTGATATATCAAGCGTGATACTTGCCTCGTGCACATGAACGAAAAAAAAAATGTATGCGCCCCTTTTACAAAAATAATTGAAGGACACACTCTTGGTCCCCAGGTTCTCACCCTCTAGCGTCAAGGATGCGCCCGCCTTCCCCTAAAGCTCCGTCGTCTCCCTTGTCATCAAGGGGCGGGAGCCCCGACCCCCATCATCACGATTACATTGAGGAGCGCAGCATGGAGCGCACCTGCTCACCGTCCTTCAAACGCCCCGCTGCCGACTTGTACGACTCTGCCGAGGAGGACGATGAGAGCAACAGGGGGGGCGTGAAAGACGACAGCAACAACAGCAAGGACGACAGCGACGACGAGGAGAGGAGGAAGCAGAGGAAGAAAAAGACGAGGACCGTGTTCTCCCGGAGTCAGGTATGTCGTCTGTCGTCTGTCCTCCTAAATCTATTCTCATGGAGTTGCGTAACGGGTTAGGATGTGGGGAAAGGGAGAGTTAGAAAACGTCTGACCCTATCTGATTGTACGGTTTATAAGTGAACTTATTTTTTTTTCTGTGTGTGCAAATTTTAAAGTGAAGCACGGTGAGACCAGCCCTAAGCTGAGGTGCCGCGCTATATAAGACACCTGTCAGTAGCATCAAATGAGATAAATAGGCGTATACATACAACTTATATGAAGTTAAAACAAGAAAGATGGCAGTAATGAGTTGCGACTGGGTCTCAAATTTCCACACAAAAATAGCTCATCTAATTTGATTTCTCTTGCCTTTACGTTCACACATCTGAGAATGACGTAACAGCTATATTTTGTAAAATTTTAGTATTAAAAGCTGTGGTTTTTCCCATACAGTTACATGATGTGTGTTTTCCTGTCAAGTTTAATGACGCCACAAAGGTGTTTTCCGATACAGTATAATGACACATATTCCTGTCAATATCTCGCCACACCAGAATATAGTTATTTATTATTTAATATATTTAAAAAAAATGTTTCTCCATAATATACAATATCACGTTGATTAGAGCACTTTTTAACATCAGATAATTAAATACTTTCACCTTAATTTGAAACTTTTAATATAAGTTAATTATATAATATCATGTAGTTTTGAGAATTTAACATCAATAATTATCTTTTATAGATATATTTTTTTTTTAATTTCACATCCTTGATAAACAAATAACCCGTTTGAAAAACAATTATTTAAACCTGGAATAAGAACAAAAAACGTTTGTTAGTATTGTAACTCTTGAATATTTCATTATCTTTAATAGATTTGTTGAAGGTTCCAGTTATAAAGTGAACAACGTTCCTTGTTTGATAAGCTATCAATTTATGCTAAACACACCCAGGAAGCAGCTTAGGTAAAGTTATTCGCAGAACAAGTGTTTCATTTTGTTTTGGTTTTCAGGTCTTTCAGCTCGAGTCGACGTTTGACATGAAACGCTACCTATCCAGTTCAGAACGCGCGGGCCTGGCAGCTACCCTCCACCTGACAGAAACACAGGTAGGTCGTATTCTGTACTATAGACAAACAAATGGCAATGCATCAATGGACTTCCCATCTACTAAAGTTACTTGAAGAAAATTTAATTAAATCATTTTATAACAATCCCAAATAATCCCCCCCCCCTTTTCCCCAATAGGTACACCCCCGTTCACATTCTTCATGCCCCTGAATTATATTCAAATTCTAATGTCCCACCCCCTTTCATACCGCAGAATTGTTATCATTGTCAAATTGAGACTATTTCCGTAACAAAAAAAAAGGAAATATTACGCACCAAACGCACTTTTTAGAATCTCATTTAGCGCAATTATCGGGAATTTTATTTTGCAAACTAGTTAACTCACCATTACACGCTACATCCTTTCATATATTATTGTTTAAACACGTTTCGAGGTTTCGATCACTTTCAATGCACACCCACGCGCCTATCTTTGGCGTGCATTGGTTTGGTGTGCAAGGCCATTTATTCCTTTCGCCACCAACTTCTGTTAACGAAGCGCTCGAAGTTCTTCAGATTCGCGTGTAATAAACTATCAAACAATTGCAATTTAAAATATATTTCATGGAATAAATATCTTTAAAAAATCAATTCCATGTTGGCACAACTCATGATCCCACTTGTATATGTTTAAATGGTGAACATTTGGGAAGATAACATATTATATTGTATTTTGAAATTCATTGCGTTCACATTTTCCTCAGTCGACCTGAAGATACACGACAACAGACATACGATAACATCGGACATACGATAACATCAGACATACGATAACATCGGACATACGATAACATCAGACATACGATAACATCAGACATACGATAACATTGGACAACATCGACTATATTTACGAGATTTTATGGAGAATTTTCCTTTTATTAGCTCACCATGCAGTTGGATTAATCCATTCGTACTATATCCACTTTATATTCAATTGTTAAATGCAATTATTGGTTGTTGTTGTTTTTTTTCGGGGGGGGGGGGAGAATGCGATAATCGTCGCAATGACGAGGCAATGTTACCGCGGCGAATGGGAGGCATTTGAGAACGCTCATTTCATTCAATTGATGGGTTGAAAAATAATTCTTGTATTTTTTTCCGCCAGGTTAAAATTTGGTTTCAAAACAGACGGAACAAATGGAAACGTCAGCTGGCAGCCGAGATGGAGGCGGCCAACCTGTCGCAGAGGGCCTCACACCGAATGGTCAGGGTGCCCGTCCTGTACCACGAGAACAACTTCCCTCCCCCACACACCCGCCCCGAGTCCCTTCACTCCGGCAGCTCACCACCGACCAACCCGTCGTCCCTGCCCTCCTCCTTGCCCTCCACCCTCCCCGCTTCTCTGAGCCCCCTCTGCTACCCACACCACTACCCGCACATCTCCTCACTGCGCTCCTTGCACGGGGCGGTCTGACGACGTCGGCCCTGAACCCGCCACCAAGTCATCGTATGTCGCCGCCTTTGAAGCGCACTAAATATCGATACTAAATCATTTCACAATTATGTGCACACCAGTTGGAGCGCAATTTCGACACACCTATACAGGGGTTTTCCTAAGCAGTTTATGACGACACACCATATGTCCCCCGCCCCCACACCGTTTTGTGACGTTACACTATGGTTTTCTTCCCATACAGTTTTAGGATGTGTGTTTTCCTGTTAAGTTTAATGACGTCACAAAGGTGTTTTCCCATACAGTTTAATGACACATATTGTTGTCCGAAGATCGCCACACAAGATTTGTCGACGTCATACATCAAGTATGGAAACCTGACGCTGTCCTAGGGTACTTCAAGGAGGCATCACATTATAAAGTCGTTTAAGCTACAATGAAACAATGAACGCTACTTGTGATTAGTTTTCAAAAAACAGTCTTGGACCCTTCATACACGTATGTCGTAGGATTGGATCAAAGCATGGACACTGTTACATGTGTCTGTTGTAGATTTCGATCAAAGGATGGAATCTTGACATGCCTCTGTTGTAGATTTGGATCAAAGGATGGACTCTTGGCATGCCTCTGTTGTAGATTTGGATCAAAGGATGGACTCTTGGCATGCCTCTGTTGTAGATTTGGATTAAAGGATGGACTCTTGACATGCCTCTGTTGTAGATTTGGATCAAAGGATGGACTCTTGACATGCCTCTGTTGTAGATTTGGATCAAAGGATGGACTCTTGACATGCCTCTGTTGTAGATTTGGATCAAAGGATGGACAATCATCTGATGCTGAAATCTATTTTTAACGAGGCTCTAAGATATATTTTTTTGTCAAGGGGCCCAGTCAATGTTACAAGAATAAGCTGAAAAATACTCGTGACAATGTAATGGGGGCATTTAAAAACGTTAGACAAAGGCTGGACGTTAGTCGGTTCAAAGGTTACAACATGCTGCTTAGAAGTGAGTGAGCTGGAAACGCCACGAACAGTGATTGTATTTGATTGCAAGGATTGGTCTCAAATAAGCGTTCTAATATTAATACAGGTGCGTAACAGGTGCTTGGTGTTCAGACTCTTCTCTCCCTCTTTTTTTCTTTTCCCTTTCACTCTATCATACCCCACGAAAACCTCTCCATATTAACTCTGTAACTCTGTTACTCAATCCCAATTTCTCTTCCTCCCCCCCCCCCAATCTCCGATTCTTTCACTTCTGTTAAGCTCTTCTACTGATCTGCGAGGTTCAATGTTTGTCACGGTCAGTGTTAGTGTCCCCCGAAAACCCCCCCCTATTAACTCTGTAACTCTGTTACTCAATCCCAATTTCCCTTCCCCCCCCCCCCCCCCAATCTCCGATTCTTTCACTTCTGTTAAGCTCTTCTACTGATCTGCGAGGTTCAATGTTTGTCACGGTCAGTGTTAGTGGGCGACTCCCATGGACTTACTGAGAAACCACTCAGTTTCGGATCAACTTTGTTTGTTTTGATTACACGTTGACCTATGATCTGAATGTTATTGTTTTTTGTTATGTTGAGGAATCAAAGTTCAATGGTGTGTGCTCTGCCAGCACATTGCGAGCATTTTCAACAAAACAAAAGACAACTAAAAAACCAAAGATGTGAAATACTTATTTTTATGATAACCAAAAAGACTGGTGTGTTCATTGATGATATCATATTTCGTTTATTTGACGTAACAGCATTTTACGACAGGGCTGCGGAATCTGAAACAAAATAGTTCGGATTTCGATATGGCATTTACGATGTAGCCTTGCAAGGCAAACCAGAGTACGTCCTTTAGGTAGCTGTGGTGTGTTGTCGAGCGAGAACATGTGTACTAGTGAGTGAGACCATATGTAATATTGAGTGAGAACATGTGTAATAGTGAGTGAGACCATATGTACCTTTGAGTGAGAACATGTGGACTATTGTGTGAGAACAAGTGGACTATCGTAGGAGAACATATTATGTACTATTGAGCGACAACATGTTTACTATTGAATGAGAACATATGTACTATTGAGTGAGAACATGTGTACTATTGAGGGAGAACATATGTACTATTGAATGAGAACATATGTAATATTGAGTGAGAACATATGTACTATTAAGTGAGAACATGTGTACTATTGAGGGAAAACATATGTACTATTGAGTGAGAACATGTGTACTATTGAGTGAGAACATGTGTACTATTGAGTGAGAAGATGTGTACTATTGAGTAAGACTGTTTGTACTATTGAGTGTTGAAAACAAAAATGTAATTCAGGGACTAGATATTTTCATTTTCCGCAGCTCTGATTACAGACGCCCCTCTCCCCACCCAACTCCACCCTCATGTCACTTCATCTCTATCAGTGGTTCTAAGTACACATTCAATGAACTCAGCGTATTCTGAGGACCACTTCATCTATACCATAGCTTTATTGTACAGTTTGGTGTACTCGGTTTTATTTGTATTTGTTTTTTTTTGGGGCTGTGAATGATATGGTGTTAAACCCCAATGGCTAGCTCTAAACCAGCGGTCAGAGAACATGGACATTTGCATAACACTGACTTTTGCATTTTGTTAAGGGCACAATTGAAAGACCTGAGACTGACTTCAGTATTTTTTTAAGGGCATAATTGAAAGACCTGAGACTGATTTCAACATTTTCTTTAGGCAACCTTGAAAGACCTGACACTGACTTTAGCATTTTGTTAAGGGCATAATTGAAAGACCTGATACTGACTTTAGCATTTTGTTAAGGGCATAATTCAAAGACCTGATACTGACTTAAGCATTTTGTTAAGGGAATAATTGAAAGACCTGAGACTGATTTCAACATTTTCTTTAGGCAACCTTGAAAGACCTGACACTGACTTTAGCATTTTGTTAAGGGCATAATTGAAAGACCTGATACAGACTTCAGCATTTTTTTAAGGGCATAATTAAAAGACCTGACGCTGACTTTAGCATTTTGTTAAGGGAATAATTGAAAGACCTAAAACTGACTTTAGCATTTCTTAAGGGCATAATTGAAAGACCTGACACTGACTTAAGCATTTTGTTAAGGGCTTAATTAAAAGACCTGACACTGACTTCAGCATTTTTTAACGGCATAATTGAAAGACCTGACACTTACAATAGCATTTTGTTAAGGACATAATTGAAAGACCTGACACTGACTTTAGCATTTTGTTAAGGGCATAATTGAAAGACCTGACACTGACTTTAGCATGTTATTTAGACATCCTTGAAAGACCTGAACCTGATTTTATCATTTTGTTTAGGCATCGTTTCAAGACTGACCCTGACTCCAGCATTTTGTTTAGGCATCGTTTCAAGACTGACCCTGACTCCAGCATTTTGTTTAGGCATCGTTTCAAGACTGACCCCTGACTCCAGCATTTTGTTTAGGCATCGTTTCAAGACTGACCCCTGACTCCAGCATTTTGTTTAGGCATCGTTTCAAGACTGACCCCTGACTCCAGCATTTTGTTTAGGCAAAAAACAAACAAAATAAAATCTAACAGCTTTTTGAGTCTGACGTGTGTGAATCCGTTCACGTCCAAACTCTCAGTACTTATATAATACTCAAATGTGAATAGACCTTGGAATGTTGTACAATTGTGAATAGACCTTGGAATGTTGAACAATTGTGAATAGACCTTGGAATGTTGAACAATTGTGAATAGACCTTGGAATGTTGTACAATTGTGAATAGACCTTGGAATGTTGAACAATTGTGAATAGACCTTGGAATGTTGTACAATTGTGAATAGACCTTGGAATGTTGAACAATTGTGAATAGACCTTGGAATGTTGTACAATTGTGAATAGACCTTGGAATGTTGAACAATTGTGAATAGACCTTAGAATGTTGTAAAATTGTGAATAGACCTTGGAATGTTGAACACTTGTACAGATCAACAAAACTATTTGCGCTTGTCAATCTTGGATGCTTTCTATAACTCAAATTAAAATGTTTACATTTAGTGCTAAACAGGACATATCAAAATTAAGATTTTTGTGTGTGTGTGGTAATCTTAATGCTTTAATCTGATACAAAAAAATAACGTATCATCTTCAATCGTTTCGATATATAATTGGAATTTCTTAAAAATAAAAAAAATCAATAATCCTTCGAACTTACTGTAAGTCACGCATCCAATTCTTCACTTTTTATCTACATAATTATTTTTTTTTAAATATTCAGCAGTGAAAATGAAAATCAATTCAAAATATCAATTAAAAATAGTGTCAAATTAACTTTTGTAGAGGTCGACAGTCAAAGATACCAAAGGTCGAACGTCTTAGGGACCCAAGGTTAAACTGGAAGCTTTCTCACCAAGATATGGTGCTGTTTTAGTCCAGATGTTGGAGGTGTTCTTGAAAAAAAACGTTCGCTCTATGCTTGTGCAATACTTGAAAATGTCGGACTCTTTTTAAACATCAAGTTAAGTTAATGGTTTTTAAAATTCTTGAATGGATTCACAAAATCAACTTATAATGTACTATGTGTGGTCTCGTTTCAAACCTGGTTACTACCAAAGAGTGAGAATGGGGAAAGTGTGTTAAATGCAAGACGTATATGTTGCCAGAATGTATCAAATTAATTGATTTCTATTTAATTGTCTTTTAAAACAACTGTCCAAATGGGTTATCGGAAATTTGTTTGAAAGAAATTTCTTAGACGGAAAATCGATCGACGGAAGTTTGGTCGAACGGAAGTTTGGTAGAATTATTTTTTTTCCAGTTCACACGA